TCATTAAAACTCAAACAGGTAATCTAAAGAGACCAGTACAATTGCTGTACAACCTTGAAGTGCATAATTAGTAGTAAAGAGTTACAGTGTAATAATCTGATTTGTTGTTTGCACATATGTCATCTTCTGAATATCTTTATTGATTGTTGCTAAATGTAGTTTAGTTTATATAATTATTGCGAATTTTGATTTAGTATAATGTTTCTTATTTAGTAATTACTTTATAAGTTGATTTAACGTGTTTAAATATTACTTAATTGTTATTTGTAATTTGATGTAGTTTATAGAGTATTCAAATGTTGTGTTTGATTTAGAAATACTGGTTTATTTTGTATTCGGTTTGTGTGAACTTAAAGAGTTCACAGGTGGGGAGTGTTGTAAAGAGAGAAGTAGAGGGCGCTGCTTGGCAGTAGCGTAATGCAAGTAAGTAAAAACGAAATGTCGTTTGATTAGGCAACATGATTTCTGTGAAGGTAGTCCGCCTAACAATAGGACAGTTGTAAATATGTAAATATAACGAATAATAAATAACATTAGAAAAACTGAATCATCGGATGTTTTGTGATTGCTCTACGGACCGCCACGGAAAAGTGCAGGTTCGTCACACCGATAATGCCAAGTCTTTTAAAAGAGCTAACAAAGAACTAAAACATATTTTCAAAACTTTGAGTGACTCATCTGTGAAAGAATTATTTTCTGCTAGAGGCATAAATTGGAAACTTATTAATGATAGGGGTCCATGGTGGGGAGGGTTTTGGGAGCGTATGGTACGAACCATAAAATCCAGCTTACGCAAAATTATTGGTCGATCATCCCTTACTGTGAAAGAGCTTGAAAACAGTGCTCATTGAAATCGAAGGCAATGATTAATTGTATACCAATTACCTACGTGTTTACCGATCCCAATGAACCTTCTCCACTAACACCCTCCCATTTTCTGGTTGGTAGACGATTGCTATCTCTGCCTGCTAATAAAATAACATCAAATAATTTGATTGGATCAAGAAATTCAATTATTAAACGATATAAATAGCATCAAGATATTTTAAATCATTTTTGGAAGCGTTGGAGATCAGAGTACCTTTTTAATCTGAGATCTGCCAATATTTGTCCTCCACACTCCAACGCATCTCAGTTTAAAATCAACGATATTGTCTTGATTCATGACGACAAACATCCCGGAAATCTCTGGACAATAGGTAAAATTTTGGAATTAATGCCAGGCAGAGATGGTAAAATAAGATCTTGCATAATTAAAACACCTACTGGTACCTTAAAAAGGCCTATACAGTTGTTATATAATATGGAACTTAACTAATGTTTGTATTTTGTATTTTTAGGTTTGATTCTCCTGACCTCGCTGATAGGTATCATTTAATGTTTTGTAAAATTTTATGTGCTTATAATTATGTATGCATGTTTGTTACATTTAACCATTTCTCCAGGATTTATTGTCGAAATATTAATTGAATATTCTAGAATATATTATTGAAAGATGAACTCTCCACCGAGTTCAGTTGGGGAGTGTTGTGTAATTTGAAGAAAAAGGCTAGAGGGCGCTGTTGTTCGCTTAGTTGTAAGAGAATAAAGTTTGTTCATGTTGAAGGCGTCGGCCTAAGAATACGCTCTGTATATAGTAATTAAAATATTGTTTAAAATGTAAAAGTTAGTAAAAGTTAGTTAAAAGTGTTAAAATTAGTAAACCCACTGAACCACCATTATCTGACTTGGAGATGCACAAAATTATTAGAATCGCAACAGGACTTGTTCCTGAGTTTTGGTGGCACGCACATCGTACACTTTTATAATATATATTGAGTACTCTTAAGTGGCATAAAGTAGCACCTGTTGCAAAAAGTTATTAATAGATGCAGCTGAACATAACATTTTAAATGAGTTACTTCATTATGCTGCCATCAAAGCACTTTTATCACAGCCTATCTGCGCATAACTGCCGATCAGTTGCACTCTTAGATGACTTTTAGATGACGTCCGCTTTCCCAATTAGAAATGAAATCTTTTAGCAGGACAGTGCCCTATGTCACTAGGCTCGAATTGTGTTGGAGTGGTTCGCGGAGCATAAAGATGAATTCCAGCTAATGTCCTGACCACCTAACTCGCCAGATCTTAATTCAATAGAGCACATTTGAGATGTCATGGAGCAACAGTTCAGAGTCAAACAATACCCTGCCGGAATATCTCGAATTTGCGTGATCGCTTCTTAGACATTTGTTATAAACTGTCTCCAGTTATCTACCAAGAACTTATGGCATCCCTATGAAGGCGATGTGCAGCTGTTTTGCAGGCCAAAGGTCACTCAACACGTTATTGAGTAGGTTGGTCATAATGTTTTGGCTCTTTAGTGTGTTTATGAGTTTTGAAACACTAGGAATTACAATGGACATATATGCATCTACTGTTTATCCAATGGTGGAATCATGCTTAGATGAGAACTTTCTAAAAGCTTGGAACAGAAGCTTTTCTTCTAGTTCTGTAAGATACGTGAAGGAACGTCTTAACAACTTTGTCATTCCTTAAAGGCGTAGTAGAGGGAGAGGGAAGAACATTTTTTAGTCGATGTTGGGTTTTGGTTTAACTATAAATGGAGATACGAAGATGCCCAGAAAAAAGAATGTAATTTGGAAGCTCAAAGTGGCAAAATTTCCCACGGCATTCATGTTGATGACATCCACTAAAATATCTGAAAGACTGGATATAACAGAATATATATCCGAAGACACATATTTGTGAAGGCAAGCATGCTAGTGCTGATTGTTTTAATGCTCAAACACTGCACTAGATGAAAGGCTAAAGTTAGTAAAAGATAAGAAATGCTGTTTTGCGTACCTTGTTCCTGATCATTCAGTTAGAAAGAGTAGCATTTCTTTAAAATGTCTTAGTTGTAGTAAGAAATATGTTAACTTGACCTGTGTTCACGTATAGACTTGCAACAAATCTAGTCAGAAGAAGGAAGAGCCAATTTCGCCTGGAAAAGTTGTTGACCTATAAAATATAAGTTCAAATCCAAAAGTATTTCTTCTGACTTTTAAAGCCAACCTTATCTCTGGTGACAAAGAGAGAATAGTTCGCTTGCCGTGTGATACTGTTACACAAAAGTCATACATTTTATGAGGTATTTAGATAAGAGATGAAATATCTTATAAGTCATCAAGGGATAATTGAACACTCTTTGTTTGGGAGTGTTTCTATTAAGAAATATAAGCATAACTATTACAAAATAAAGTAAAGCAATTAAATGGAAAAGTCACTTTCCATTTTGAAGTCTTGGAACAAGATTTTACAGGAGTAGGTGTACTATCAATAAGTAAAGACTCTTAGTTGAAGGAACTGGAAAATTTCTCCAACTGATATTAACCGCTTTTATGACTCTATTGAAATCCTCATTGGAGCAGAAATTATTCATAGGCTTTTGATAGGGAAAGAGAAATATTAGACTCAGGTTTAGTCACTGTCGAAACCCATCTCAGATGGACACTACTAGGTAAAGTCCCACAAGTAGATACTGTGAGAGAAAATTTGGCAATGACTGTAACATCACTGCTTGTGAAAGAAACGGAAATTGCTCATCTTTGGAAATAAGATATCATTAGAATAAAGTATCCTATGAAGAATAAATCAAAACCGGAGAACACTTCCTAGAAATAGTGAAATTTAATCAAGATAATCGTGTTACGTTTAAAAATTAGTTGTATTAATATTTTAAACTCCTGACTGAATTACTTAACTTCAAGTCCTGATCGATCTTTTCATCTGAAATATGTTTCACTGCTTTTAAAAGGATGTCAACATGGGCTGGTTGCTTTTGGGAAACCTTGTTGTGGTTCTCAAACTTTTCTGAATTCCAACATGCGGCTCTTACTGACATGAAATTTGGCCAACCCTGTTATATCCAGTCTTCACGGTTTGGGATGAAGGGCATTTAATCCTTTCAGGGAAATATTCGATCATACGGGTTCCATTGCGTTATCGAAAAAGTCACTAGACTATCACGTCTCGGAATTAAGGAGATTACAATAATTCTTATATTTATAACAGTCTGCTTGAATGCTTCCTAAAGGAACATATTTTAAGATCGAATTCGACTCAATAGTTTTAAGGCTTAACCCCTGTTAAAGGCCGTCATATATATGAGGCAGACCGTCCATATGCTGTTTTCGAGGCACAAATAGTTTTATTGTGGATTATGCAGTCCTCATTGAATGCATATGCCATACAACAGCTAAGTAGTTAACATTCGTAAGTTGTGCAAATTTTCGGATTGTTTGATGGGGATTATCGTGACGATTTTAATTAAACCACGTTCTTCAAAATCTGACTGCTTTCCTCAACCTGCAGATTAGTTAGACAAATCCTTCTAAACTGAGAGAACTATTTCCTTGCCGTGCTTTTAGTGGCAGTAATCATGGGAAAGGCGCAAGCTAATTCGCCGCTACAGCGGCATTTGATCTATTTGATTTACTTGGCTATGGCAAAGCTCAATAGGGCTATCTGCTTTAAAAAGTGAGGGATGTTTTTTGTGACCATTAATCCCGAAACTGTCATACGGCCACGAAAACTGTCATGCAGCCAGCTCGTTCACCTGGAATCGAAATACCAATGTACAGCGACTTTAACACTCGGCTGTTGGAGGCTTCTAAATTAAATTCGAAGAGCAGAATGCTCTACTTTATTCGGAAATAGTCAGCTTTATTTACATGACAACAAAACAGACAAAATATTTTTTTCATGTAGTGCTTATTATTTGTAGAATGGAATACTGCGTTTCAACGAACACAAAATTATCAACTAAACAATAGCAGACAATGAAAGCTTGCCAAAACAATGTAGCTCATTCATAGTAAAGTATTAGAAAGAGTAAAAACCATCTTTTCTCCTTCGTAAAGATTAGAAAGAGAAAAATGTGTATAATTTAGAATGAATTTTTGCATTTACACTAGCTTAAAACTGTAAATATTCCTTATATTTTTTCTTTTTTTCAGAATGGATGGAATATCAGCGTATTTAATTTTAGCTATGAGTTGCTGCTATGCAGTTGGTCATGATATCTTTAATAACCCCGACACAGAACAAGAATTGAATTTATAACCTATTATAAAATATCGAAACCAAGAATCATCTACTCTTGCAACTAGATATGACGGCTGAGTCCTTAATACGTCGGAATACTACATTGTTCATTGAGGGACATGACTTAAAACATATGAAGAGATCTCCAAAAACCAAGCTTTCATTACCTTCAATTTTCCGGAAGAGCAAAGGTAAAATGTTTCGACAATATCTAAATAAAATGATAATGAAATTGTATTTATTCTAAGTTGCATTATCATGGACAATACGACCATTTCGACGTTCATATATGCGTTTAATGTTTTGATTTTTCTTAATTAGAATATTTTAGATTAGTTATAAAAGTTATTGCAGTAATCATACAGTAATGTTGTAAAAAACGCAACACCATGAAGGAATTGTCCGAAATGAATGAAATTTATTCCACATAACTCCTGTACACGTCGTGGCATTGAATCATACAAGTTCTAAATATAGTCATGGGGAATCGCATTCCATATGGCTTCGGCTTGACGCCAGAGTTCAGTCTTACCGTGTGCCCCAACAGTTGTACAAGCGAGTCGCCGATCGATTAAATCCCAAACATGCTCAAAGGGCGACGTATCTGCATAATAATAAGAATAAGCAGGCCATGGAAGAAGCGAAACCTGTTGTGTTCTAAACAAGGAGAAACATGTGCATGGGCAGTATCCTGCTGAACTACAGTCCAGGAATGCATCGAATAATGAGTTCACAACTTCCCTTATATAGGAATCACTATTGAGGTTGCCTTCAATCTGAAATAGATGGGATTGATAATTATACCCAATAACTTCCCACATCATGATGCCAAGCGTTTTTGCGGAATGACCCTGGATAACACACTGTGGGAGCAGATGTTTCGCTTTGTAAAATCTCACGCGTACTCTTACATCATTGCACTTGAGATTGTAGCGAGATTCACCGGAAAAAACAAATTCCTGCCACGCACACACCACAGGACGCCACAGGACATGCCACGCACTATGTTGCCATGCCCGAAGTCGAAGGCGTCTGCGATTCAGCGACAGGGGAATACTGCGTAGAGGAATCCTTGCACGTAGTTCATGCTGCAGCAGACGGCGACGGGCAACCGTGGAGCTAGACAACAGAAGACCTGTAACCGTGCTCCAATGACCTGTAGCTCCCAACACGAGGGGACGCTGTACGATCTGTCACAGCCATGCGGATGAGGTGTTTGTCGTCTCGTACCGTTGTGCTACTGCGTACCTCGCTTTTAGGATTTTGCCTTGCTTGGTTCTCCTCCGTTCATTTCTTCCAAACATGCATCATTGTTGTGACATTACGCCGAGTGCAGGCTGAGAATTGCTTGATACGAATATCTACTCTCTCGTATACCGACGATGCGGCCTCTGTTAGTCGTTGGTATGGTACCCTCCGATGTTGACGAGGCATATTACTATAATTAAACGTCCACTGCAGGTTAAAAAACGACAGAAAGATTTTAGAGTAAATTTACAGTCCTTTATGTACATGGAACAAGCGGCCGGTTCTCATTCCACGCATATACAATCACTATGTAATTCTAATCATTTGCATGCCTTACCTCACTTTACATTTCCTATAAGTTTGGTTCAATTGGCATAGTTCTTTCATGGTGTTGCAATTTTCACAAAGATCAGTATATGTTTTTATTAGCTAGAGTGCTCCTGCTAGTTCTTCTAGCACAGTGGTCGGCAAACTCTTTAGTCAACAAAGCCAATTATCAACAGTTCAACGATTAAAATCTCTTTTGAGAGCCACATTCTTTAAACTAAAACTACATTCTTTTGCAAAAAAATCGAAGCACAAAGAAGAACTTTTGTGATCGTGATGAAATTAGATATGCAAAAACATCTTGATCGAACATGCAAGTTAAAGTTTAAAGGCAAATGAACAGGAATTGCGATGATAACTCGCATTTCTAGTGCACAATTCGCAAAGTATAAAACCAGTAACAGAGACGGAAAATTTATTTTTTTTGTTGCTGCCATTGTAATTCCGTAAAGAAGCAACTAAAGATGCAATTTCGACGATGTCGAAGATTTTACATACAACTAAACGACTTCGAACGTGGTCGCATTGTAGGGTTGCGTGAAGCTGGGTTGTCACACCGAGCAATAGGCCGCACCTGCAGCATACAGACACTGCTGTGCAAAGATGTTGGCAGCAATGTTTGTTACAAAGAAATTGCCGACGAAATGAAGGCTGTGGAAGGCCAAGGAGCACAAATGCGAGGCAAGATAGGATAATTGTTCGCCAGGCCCGAACCGCCCCAACGATGTCATTGTCGACTATTCAACGCACTACAGCCACGTCTATACCTCCTGTGATACCATCCACCATCTCACGGCGCTTGTTTGAGGAGGGGTTACGCTCGCAGAGGCCTTTAAAATGTTTGCCTTTGACCCCACAACATCGGCAGAGTCGTCTGGAGTGGTGTCGCAGCCGATCATCATGGCTACCATTAGACTGGCATCGTATAGTGTTCAACGATGAATCCCGCTTCTCTTGAAGCAGATGACCACCCTGTTCGTGTCTGGAGTCACCCAGCGATCCCAATCAACCTTTGGTTTACAAAGGCATACAGCCATAACCATGGTGTAAGGGTGTGGGACTTTATTTCTTGTGACAGCAGGTCATTTTTAGTAATCCTACGTACATCTTTAACAGCTCAACGATATGTTGATAACATTCTGCGCCCGTATATTACCCTTCATGGCACGTCATACTGGGGCCATTTTCCAACAAGATAATGCCAGGCTACATACCGCCCGCATATCTCTGGACTGTCTCCGTGCGGTTGATACTCTTCCTTGGCCAGCAAGGTCACCAAACCTTTCACCAATAGAGCATGTCTGGGATATTGTAGGCTGCCAGATTCGAGCAACACAAAATATCGCAGATCTGGAGTGACAACTGATGAATGCATGGCAGAATGTGTCGCAGGATGACATTAGAAACCTCTACCACTCCTTGCCTCGATGAATTCATACATGCATTGTCGCCAGAGGTGGTTCGACCAACTACTAATTTGAACACTCAATGGGTGGTTGAGCCATGAACAGGTACTATGACCTCGATTTTTTACTCATTTTTTTATCTGTGTATGAGCTAAACACATATTCAGTTTCATCAAAAACAAACACTCCCTTCATGGTGCTTCGATTTTTTTTTCAAAAGAGTGTATTGAGGTATGTATATTGTTATTCATTTAATTAGGATACTCTAATTCTAGCTTTTGCTAAGAACATCTTAAATTTGATCAACGTTCGTTCGCTAACGTTGATCAAATTGAGAGAGTTGTGTGGATGGGAGAGTTGAAAGAAGGTCGACCCTCTTTCAACTCTCCCTGGTATCCCTGGACAGAAGGAAATGGGAAATGCTCGTTTACACCATGGAGGTGAAAATAAAATAATTATTTCCTACCTCGATGGTTTACACCTATGAATTCATTCCCCTTTTAAATTGTTTTAAAATAAAACAGAGGGAACCTCCTGCATTAACTACTCCACAACAAGCCTTCTGTCTGACTGATTGACAAAAGTAAAAACACTCACTCAACTCGTGGATGGATTGCAGGCGCATCGCCGGAGATGGGGGAACCTCGGTCATAAAACGAGTACGTCGCAGCGAGGAAGGGACACAATTGAAAGCGGATATCAGTGTTATTTTTGTCGATACAATTTTAACTGTAATCAGTGTAATGACCCATTTATTAATCCATCAGTAAAAATCTTACTAGAATCAGTACAATGGTAATTTTAGCTTGATACATCAAATAACGTGAAAATGAAATTTCATGTCAAAATATCTGGATTTTAAGTTTTTAGACGTTTCCAAATGAAGTTTTTTTTCCATATTATATGCAACTCAAACATCGTTTATGTATTTTATTAAACTCATTTGCTAGGAAAATTTTTGTTTCAGACACTGAAAAAAGCTTCAAATTTGAAAGGTGTAGAAGCTAAAAATGCTGATATTTTAAATATTATAATAATTAATATATTAAAACTAAATTTCCTTCTTATATTATTTGGTTTCTCATTCAAGTTAAAATTGCCATTGAATGGTATATTGATTCAAAGCATTTAATTATTTAAAATTTGGCATATGACAATTACTACGACAGCACAATATGATGTATAATCAGTATAACGAAAATGCCGAAATCGGTGCAAAAAGATTTCCTAGGAATAACATTGGTGGATATGATTTCAGTTGTTCTCATACCTGTGTAAAATTTGACGTCCTTTATGTTGTATTTTCAAGATTTTCTTGCTTTTACATGCTCGCGTCCACATGTGCTATTTTGTAGAAGGGCCACACTCAAGGAACCAGAGAGCCAGAATTGACCCCGAGCCACGATTGTCCGACTACTGTTTCAGCAGATACCAGTTTCCCACCGTGAGGCTGAGAGAAACTATAGAGGTGTTACTAGTCTCTGGTTCAGTAAAACAGCGTTGGAAAGCAAGTTTTGAATTAGAAAACGCTTCCAAAATTTGGTTGCTTAAACGCTTTTAAAACAAACATTCACTCATACATATATTAGAGTTACGTATCTTTATAATGACCATATTAAATCTTGCCAGCTAATCATTTGCCTATGTGAGTCGAATTTATATGGTAATAGCTTCATATCTCTATATTGAAAGGTTGGAATTTACAAACCATGAAGCAAATATTTGAAAACATGACCACAAATATGACATTATCTCAGTTGAAAGAATATACAGTAAGCCCAATGGAACATGTTCTTTCAATACAGACCACAGCAAATACTGTTGTATGAAGAATGTTTTACAGGATTATTACTGCAATTAGTTTCAGAAATATTTAATCGTTATTATTATACCGTAGTTCTTCGCGTATTTTTCCTCTCAGCATTTTAGCACCAAATTGTGAAAATTTTAAATATATTCATGTAACTTTAACCTTCCACAATGCGTTCAGAGGATGAGCTCCCTTAATTTTAAAATTTATTCGTCCACGTAACGATTGTTTTATTGTTTTTGTCTTACTGTCAGAGACAAACTTTTACTTATGCCAAACATTTTCCTTCTATCTGTTGAACGTTTTATTAGCCTAATATGAGAACCAACCCATCAAGCTAACTTGAACTGACATTAAGTCTACTATTTCGCCTTGTCGGTTATACATTCACCCTTTTTTT